GTTAAATCGCGGTTAAAAATCAGATTTTTGAAAAGTTTTGACCACTTTGGCATCGAAATTATAAATTTCTCAAAAAATAAAATTAGTATATTATTTACTATATTATTATTTTTGCCGTCAAACCACTAATTTCGATAGATCGAATTTATACAAATCAGAAACATACACACACACACACACATACACACAAGTAAATATATCGAACATTATCGAAACATCATCGTGCGAATTATCTATAGGGGTTGAATTGCAAATCGTTTCGAACACTCTCATTCATTCGAGGCACTTAGGCAAATACCGTTTTTGGTGGCGCGGAAAACAGAGCCTGATCCTAGAGTGGATTGATGAATTTCCAGCGAGTTAACATCCTGAATGAGGGAAGTTGAAAAAGAAGAAGAGAAAAAAACAACTAAAAAAGAAGAAGAAGAAAAAAAAAGGAGAAAATACAAGCTCACCCTGAGACTTGGGAGATGATTAGATTCTGCCACGTGCCCATTGTGCCAGCCATCGACGTAACGCCCCTTCCTGTGCGCGCGTGTGCGTGTCATTCATGCGTGTCACTGCTACAATGCGAAGACGCAGAATCGTAATCTCCCATCACTTCGAATCGAGGCTGGACTTTGAGACAATTTATTGTTCCACGAGATTATCGATTCCACGGTCGCTACTCCTTTTTTTTTTCACAGAATTTTGGAATAGATTATTATATTTCTCGAGGGAGAAAATTCGTAGAGTTTGTTTTTTTTTTTTTTTCTAATTTTCTCTTAATTTTTATAACACAGGTTAATCACATTCCGAATTATATCACTTCAAAAACAATATGTCATTTTGATAATTAATATTCGAAGAATTTACGATTTCAAATTTTTGCCGAGGCGTTAATCTAACACGATAAAAATTCTCCCCTCCCTCCCTCCTTCCCTCCCTCTCTCCGATAAATTACGATCAGTCAAAAAACAACGGTTCAACTTTTGATGCACGGTACGCGTGTAACGCGATTGCCCCTCCCCCCTCCCCCTTTGTGAAATAATGCCAACTCTTCGTTCGACAGTGTTATATTGCCCATAAAGCTGAAACCTCCCCCTATAAGTTCGCCGGCCGACAATTAAATGTAAATCACGTATTTGCGCGAAAGTGTAACGCAAACACTCGGTAAACACGAGACAAACTACCAACGGGGGGATCGTTTGTGACGGGTTGTGACTCGAACGCACGCGCGCGAATTGCGGTTACACGGTATTTAGAAACCGATTTCCCTCGATGAACGTGTCTCTCTCTCTCTCTCTCTCTCTCTCCCCCTCCCAAAACGGGAGATCTACTCCCCTGAAAAAAAAAAAAAAAGAATCGCGCAGGAAAATAGTCGAACGATTTTGCAATCCCCGTGGCTAATTCCTTCATCCAATACCGGGGGTATCGTAACGAGGTTTCGCGAAAGGGAGTCTCTCTCTCTCTCTCTCTCTCTAATCGTCTAATCGTCATGGAGCGCACCCTTCTTTCGGCAGAGGGAAATTTCTAATCGAGGAAAGATAAGAGGCAGAGAGGGAAGAGCAGAGAGAAAGAGAGAGAGAGAGAGAGAGATTTCAATCTTGGCAACGATCGAGATTTCCCATCGAGACGACGAGCTATTTGATTTTCAACCCCATCGTCCCTTTGACTTGATCGAGGCCAGAGAAAGAGAGAGGCGTACACGATCGACTTTGGGCGCGGTGGTTTTTATCGAGTTACGCAACGAAAGGCAGTCGGCCAAGTTCTTTGTCTAGCGGGCCATCTGTCATCCCCCTCCCCCTCGAGAAGCGAGGAGAGCCTCCAACATCGCCGTCGGAGGAGGAGGAGGGAGGGTGCAGTGACAACGGCGTGGGCGTTTACGACGACCTACTTGCGCCTCGTAAACGGTTCGCCTCTGCCCGTATATTTCCCACGCCCGCGTGCACGCCAACAGGGGGAGGTTGGGGGAGGACGAGGGGGGCAGATACGAGATCCCGATAAAAGTGAGATAGCGCGCGAGACAAGTAGCGGAGAAGCGGACCTCTGCAAGGAATACGTATGTGTGTATCGGGTATTGATTTTCCACGTACGGAGTTACGTGCGGGGTAAAGCCGAGACGCGACAAAGTTTATTAATCCTGGGGGCAGCAGACGCGTCTGCGTAGCCACGGCCACGAAACGCGCGCTCCACGGGAGGATACGAAACTTTTGATGTTGTTTCGCCGCTTTGAGGAAAAAAATTTCAACGCGCTTTTCTTCCTTTCCATCTCCTTTTTTTCTTTTTTTTTTTTTTTTGAATATTTAATCTCTCTATTGGAGAGCCAGTGAATGAATTTTCGGCGACTCTCGATCGGAAACGTAGAACGATATATATTTATTTGAGATATTTATTTGAGATTTAAAAAGATGGGTCGAGGTGAAGATCTTTTAACGAGAAAAAGATATATATATATATAGTTTTTTTTTCTGTGATAAAGGTATTACAAAGGGAGGAAGTGTCGTAGCAAACAAGTTTCTATTCCCGAATCTAAATCGATAGAAGATCTAAATTAATTATTCGGTAGATGAGAAATTTATGCGAAGGTATCGAGCACGAAAATTATTGTTAAATTCATTGCTCTGATGCAACTATATCCTTAGTTTCGTTTGATTTTTCGCAATTTCGATTCTGAGTTAATATTCAAACGTAAGTTTCAACGGGTAATATCGATACGGATTCATTTGTAAGTGGATGAAATAAGAATATAATTTCAATATAGGAATACAATATATCGATATAATTGTTTAATTATATAATTGTACAATTATATCTACGCGAATCGTTGTAAATATTACAATCTTCTCAAAAGAAATTATCCATTAGAAGATATTAGATAGAGTAGATTTTTAAAATGGAAAGAATAAGAATAATAAGGAAGAATTAAAGAATTCGTGTCTCTATTATCTACACCTACATATCGTAATTTTATAAAGACGCGTTTCTACTCTTTACAATTAATCTCTCTCGTTTCGAATCCTTGCGTATCGCAGCCAAGTGCCTCGTTAATTCGGTTGGATGGAAGTTTGGCCGGTCGACGGTATAAATTGGTCAACCTTTAGGCGCAGAAACGGTGGAAAGGAACGCTGGGGGAGGGGAACGTCTAATACATCATAAACTTGGGAACAAAGAGGAGAGGGAGAGAGGATGTTGTGGAGGGCGGAGCGGAGAATCCACCGTCCCCGGCTATCCCCGGGACAAAACTTTGCCTATTTGTTAAGTCTTGCCCGCTGAAACTGTCTCAGATACTGGCGTCGAACTACGCCTCACACCTATGACCTCCTTAATCTCGTCCTTCTTCCTTCCTTACCCTCCGTTGTCTCGATGCATCCTACTACTAGGTTGAATAGGGGGCCGAAAACGCGCATTCTGATTTCGTGAAATTTCGTTGTTTCGGGGGGAAATTGATGATGGAACTCGAAAGAAAATGAAAGGGACGGGAGGGGAGAAATTGTAGACTCTTACGAAATTTGTTTTAACGTTATTCTCGAACAAAAAGAACGAAAGTTGTTCTTTCTTTCGCGTTTTTTATTAATTCGGAATTTATTTCAATTCGAGTAGAAAGAGTTCTTGAAAACGTTATCGATTATATATATATATATATTTTTATTATATTTTAGCCTCTAACAAAGGCTAATAATAAAAAATATCGTTAACAAGTCGCTCAAAAAGAACTGAAAACAGCCAATTCAGGAAACAGTCGAACGCAAATTATACTTCTTTTTTTTTATCTTCTGTAAATTAAATTTATTGATTGTTGAAGATAAAAAAAAATATATATATATATGTATATATTATAAAAGTTTGTTCAATATAAAAATATACCATTCCTTGTATATACAAATAAATTAAAAATTCGATAAATAAACAATAAATATAAAATTGAATACGAAATACCTTAAATGATACAGAAAACGAGTCACGATTGTCAAATAGCGTATTATCATTACGTATTATCATTACATCGACTACAATCAACTATTTTCTAATAATTGTAACTTCTTCAAATTTATTTATCATTTTCCACCGATTTTTTTCCCCCTCAATTTCTCGGCTTTCTACGCCTCGTTTGATCTCGAAAGAGATTCAACTCTTCGAAAACGAAAAAAACACCAACTTGAAGACCATACACGTTACCTCTACGACGCGGCGATGCAAATTAGGGGAAAGACGCGCCAACTATTTCGAGCCTATCGGGAACTAAATCCGCGTTGGGAGCGAGAATTCGAAATTAAAAAGTTTGGAGCGACGAGGCGCGGTCATCTGCATCTAAATTTTCTCCGGCGCAAGTTTCGGCCGTCGATTGTTTCAAAAGGATTTTAGCGTTGTCCGGTGTCCGGAGGGACAACTCGAAAACTAAAAAAAAAAAAAAAAAAAAAAAAAAAAAAAAAAGAAAAAAAGAGAAGGGTAGAAAAAAAGAAGAAAGAAAATACAGTGAAAAAAGGCTGATAAAATTTTTTTTGTTAGCCGGTGCCGTGATGTATGCGTGATCAGAATTCGCGAAGTTTCGCGCATCTGGTTCGAGGCGAAAGTTCGAGTGCGACACCCGCACATGACATCGCTGTGTCGGAGTGTGTATCGAGGGGTGGGATGGCGAGCATCGGGGGGAGGGCGGTTTCATTGTGACGACAATATCGCCTTGGGCGGCATTGGCGAGGCAGAGATGCAAATTTCGTGGAGGACGGCTCTGCTCTCCGCGTTTTCATCTATGGACGACGAATTTAGTAATACCGCCAAGGAACGTAGCATCACTCGATTCTTCTCCATTCCTCTGTTTGCCCAAACACCATTGACAATCAATTTTTCTCCTCTGTGAAAACATTCTTTACACGAAATCACGTATATATATTTATATTTGATTTCTCGAATATTATTTGTGAATTCGAAAATAAGGGGATTAAGATTAAAATTAATTGTTTGTTCAATTCACTTCAAGATCGAGAACAAGATCTAAAATTTGCAATTTTCTTCTGTTCCAGGGGACGGCATCTTTCAAATCGCCACGGCAACGTTCATCGTAAGTACCGAAGTCCCGCTCAGTTACAGCAACGCCTCTGGATCCCCTTTCCTCCAATTTCACCCCCTATTCCCTCGAAATCAACCCTCGAATCAACTATATTACGTTACAAACAGTTGCAAACTCGCGAGAAATCGTTAAATCTCGTCTCGTCGTTGAATCTCTTCTCGCGAACAATGGTAGTCCAATAGTTTCCGATTTCTCGGCTTTCTACGCCAATGCGTGCATACGCATGAGTGCAGGGAGCAACGGAGGAAAGGGGTTGACAATGCAGCTGCGAGGCGGGGTGGCAGCTTCGTAGTGGTCTCGTAGCCGTCGTGGTCTCGTAGCCGTCGTCGTCGTCGTGCAATGTCAGTGGCGATAGCTCGGTGACGGAGACGAAGTAGGAAGAAGGGTGGTTAGACGCGGGAGGGTGGGCGAGGCTGGCGCTCGAAGGAGGATTGGGGGGGAAGGGGGCGGAAAATTGGTGAGGTGGGGACGCTCTAAGGTACATAATCATGCTTGCCGATTCCTTCTCCAATAAAAGTCTCGTTGTCACTCGTTGCCCATCATCCCTCCTCCCTCGCGTCCTCCCTCCCTTAACCGAAGGAGACCCACCTAACTCTCTCTTTCTTTTTCTTTTTCTTCTTCTTCTTCTTCTTCTTTCTCTTTCTCTTCTTTTCTCTCTTGCACACGAAGGAGAAAGATGCATTACGAGCACGGTAATCAGGTCCGCGAGATGCACCCCTCCAGGTTGTGTAAGAAGGGAAAAGTAAGCGGAATACTGGAAAGGAAGGGGTAGGGCGGGAATCGAGCGAGATACGGGTCAGAAATGCTTGCCGTAGCATCATCTGAACTTGCAATTTTGTTCATCCCCACTCGAAGATCACGTATCGTTTTTTTTTCTCCAACTCCACCACTTCTTCACCGGATGGAGAATGGCTGGCATTCGTTCTGGCGCTCCGAGTCGATATCCGAGACTTACGAGACAACGATGAACACTCGGTATATCGATTAGGGAGCGATCCCTTCCACGGATCGAGAACGATTTGCAAATTAATTTGGCTTTGTCGGTGGATCGTCCGCGATACGCTGATCCTCGCGGTAAACAGAGCCTGCACGAAATGCTCTTCACTCCTCCTCCTCCTCCTCCTCCTCTCCTTCTTTTTTTTTACTCGTCCTGCCTATGTGAAATGTTAATAGGGACTCGATTGTGCGCGAATCGGTGAAATCTGGCTCGTTTCTGAGAAAACGTCGGGACGCAAGATGCATTCGAAACTTGATTATATTTTATTTATAACGTTGTAAGATAAAAATTCAATCGCGGTGGGCAAAAAAGAAAAACTAATCATTGCATTTTTCATGAAACTCTTATAATTCTTTTTTAATATAACTCTTATATATATATATACATATAGTTATAACTCTTTTCTGACGATTGTTCAATTAACCGAATAAATTAATTATTTGATACGATCTCAAGTAAATAACAGAAAATAGAAGACGTGTATTTCGTTTCAAACGGAGAAGTCCATTAAATCCGATACAAATCAAACGAATCTGCGTGGATCTACGGGAAACACGATCCGAAATCAAGGGAACGGAAGAATACGTGTACACGTATTAAAAAAAAAAAAACGAGAAGAGCCGGACCATTGAATGGAATCTACCCTCCCAGGTTGTTAAGGCGAGCCCAGGGGTAAGGGTACAGTGTCTTGGTTTCAGGGTCAGGATCTTTAAAGGGCCAAGCGTTGGAGGGTTCTTGGCCCAAACAGGTCTCAAGGTGCATGTCTCTGGTGGATTTAAAAGGCCCTCAAGGTGGCCGTGTGTAGGATGGAAAAGAACCCAGATGGCTCGACCTACCCCACCTTCCCTTCCACCCACGTGTCTAGCCGCTCGAGCCGGTCTCGACATGAAAATGGATTTTCCTTCGCCCTCTCTCGCTCCTTCCACCTGCCTCTCTGTCTCCTTCCATCCCTCTCCTTCCCCACCTTCTCTTCTACCCTCTTCCACCCCCCAACGCACGAGGCGAACGAACCGTTTCCCTCATCCGGCACGCGTTAATAACGTATCTTGATGCGGACGAGAGAAACTTGCCCGTTCGACATATGTTCCAAAGTCATTGTGCTCGCTCGATCCGTGTATCTTCTCACGTGGTTTTCGATCATGTTGGAGAAGCTACCGTTAGAGAAATTGGGGCCGGAAGATGGTGAAGAGAGCCGGCCAATCTGTCGCGAAGAATTGGAGGGCTCGCGAGGGTGGAAAAAGATAGAGGAGGGCACCGTTTTGGATTCCGTTTCGCTCTTTTTATTCGAGCCACTTTAGCCGGAGACCCGTTGCGCTCGCATGATTCCACCGACACGCTCGATTTCGACAGACACGCGCGCGGATACGCTATACTCGAGCGGAAAGCTCGAGTCGTGAGAGTTCGTGAGGGGCGAGAAACGGTGTGCACGGATCTTTTTCTTGGAAAGAAGATCGCGTGGGCAGATGTTGTGTGGGCAGATGAATATAGCGAAAATACTAGAAGTAGCCTTGTGGATTCTTGGATGAGGAAGAGGAAAATTAAAAGTTACCTCCTCCAGGAGATCGTCTAATCTAATATTGTGGAATTATTGAAAGAAGGAAGGAACAAATTTAAAATTGGGTTTCTCGTGTTAAAAGAAGAAGAAGGAAGGAGGGCACGATGCAGCAAAGTTTCCAGGTGTGGGCCTCGAAAAGATGTGGCCGGCACGCGTACAGTTTCGTCCGGCATGAGAAAAGCTGAAGGTATACACGCCGCACAGACAAAAGGTTTCACGGTCAGGACATTATGTTTACCACACGAAACGCCCCCGCAACGCCTTGTCCGGAAGACCGGATGTCTCGTGGCGAGAAATTACGAGCGGGACGGATTTACGAGCGACGACAAATCGGTTCTTCTCTTTCAACCGAGGCGTGAAAACGGTCGTGTATTCCTCGTTACGGGCCACTTTGCCACGGTTTAAGAGGCATTAGCCACTTTGAACACGCCGGACAATGCAACGTCTCGATTTGCGCACGTTTTCGTCCCTTTGTACATTTTTATTATGAGGCCCCTTTTATAATTAGTCCAGATCCCTTTCTCCTTGGGTGGAAGGAAACGGCCTTTAAGGGGATTTTTCTTGCCTTTACGAGACGGCGTTAATGGAATGGAACAGGCTACCGTTTCGATTGAAATGGAAAAAGCGATAATATCCTTCTCTAATGAGATCTTTTGTGCACGATTTTCGATGTACACTCGTTTGTGTCGTGGAAAAGGGGGATCGTTTTAGGATTCGATCTTGCACGACAATTCGGTCATAAATTATTATTTCTCTATAAAAATATTGAAAAATTTACAATCGAACGTAACAATCACTTTCCTTCCAATTTATAAAATTTATCAGCAGAATTTTAATAACATTACACACTTTTCATCGATACACATTCCCGCTTCTATATAAATTCATATTTATATTATCCTATTCTCGTATGTATATTTTATAAACTTATAAAATTCCATAAATTGGTGTATCGTACACTGAAAATCGTTACCATTGAAATAACATATTTTTTATCAATCTTGCGGAAGAACATCCTCCAAAAATTCCTCCAATTTCCACGAATACGAATAAATCAAGATTAGTCAGCACTCTGGACCACGATTCATTGGGCTCAGAAAATAAAATATCTCTCCCTATCCCTTTGCACACATCTAAGGGGGAAGGGGGCATCCGAGCAAATCGATCGAAAGTTCGTCACCTTAATAATCTCTTTCTTGTTCTCCCCCCTCGTTCCTCCCCTACCCCTCCGTGCCCCGGTTGTTGCACGCGAGGGAGCAGCCGGGCGTCTGGCCAGACGGAATTTTAATGGGGCACACAGCGAGCCCCCACGCCAGTTCCGTCCTCTAATGTGGAAGTAGCAGCTCGTGCTACTACCTGAGCAGCTGCGCGTGTGTGCGAGGGAAAAGGGGCCTCCCTTGACAGAAGTTTTATTTTATTTTGCCTTACCTTATGGGGCCACCGGTGGAGGGGACCGCGATGCCGGTAGCGGAACAGGGAGAGGCGAGGGTAGAGACGAGGAAGAAAGGAAAGAGGCCCCATGGGTAGACGCCGCCAGGTACCCGCCAAGGGCCGAACGTCACGGTTGAGAGGGGGGCCATCTGCCCCCTAACGAGTGTGTGACGTCAGGTGTGACGACGCGCGCTACCAACCTACCCGCGTCTTCCATACACTCGACACGATAGCACTATACACGCGCATACACGTATAAATATATTTTCGCCTTTTCGTGTCCTTTTCAAAAAAAAAAAAAAAAGAAAAGAAAAAAGAAAAAAAGAGAGGGGGGGGAAATATACGCGAATGGCAAACTCTCTCGATTTTTGTTTCAACTGGCGCACGACGACGACGTCGACGACGACGACGACGAGTGTGCAGGGAGAGGTGGAGGGGAAGAGGGAGGGGGGGAGCGCCGGTCAATTCACCGGAATCGAGGCCGAGCTGCGTTTTCGCGGTATCCATTTGCCGCGATTGTGCTCGCCGCAAAAATTGTCTCTTTCAATTTGCCCGGTGTCGCCGCTCTGTATAAAATATGAAGTTCGGGGTTTCACGGTTAATTGTATTGGCGTCTGAAGGGTCACCTTTTCAATTCGCGAAATTAATTTCGCGAGCAGCGCGCGCGCGCCACCGGGTCCACCCTCGCCCCTATTGATCGGAAAGTTGGATGCCTGTACATCGATCACGATCTCCGTCCAACTTTGCCCGCCCGCGTCTCAAAGCTGCCGTTCGTTAATGGAAAACCGTTTTTCCACCCGATCCTTCGTATAATTAATTATTTCGTGAATCGGGAAACGGGTTGGCGCGCGAACGTGGTGGTGGACATTCCACAACCACGTTCGAGGAAATCGGGCATGGACCGTGATGGTTTCGAAAGCGCGGTTTTTATCGACGAAATAAATGCGACGAGGGAAAAAGTCGTGGAAGAACTTTGGCCGAGGAGAGTCACGCGCGCCTTACGGACGT